AGCAATCCTTCTGCCTCAGCCTCCCGAGTAGCTGGGACTACAGGCATGCACCACCGTGCCCGGCTAATTTTTTTTTTCTATATATTTTTAGTTGTCTGATTAATTTCTTTCTATTTTAGTAGAGACGAGGTCTTGCTCTTGCTCAGGCTGGTTTCAGACTCCTGAGCTCAAACAATCCGCCCACCTCGGCCTCCCATAGTGCTAGGATTACAGGCGTGAGCCACCGCGCCCGGCCAGATTCCTTTTTTAAAAAGTTTTTTTTAAGAAACTGGGTCTTGCTATGTTGCCCAGGCTGGTCTCCAACTCCTGTGCTTAAGCGATCCTCCTGCCCCGACCTCCTAAACTGCTGGGATTACAGGCGTGAGCCACCTCACCAGGGTAGATTCTTTATAATGAAAAACAAAAAGGAAAACGTGAATGCTGTCAGTGAGGGAGTAGTTACGTAAAGCGCGGTGAGTCCACATACGCAGGACACAAAGGTTCCTCCCTCATATATGAGCAAGGAAAGATCACCAAGATGTTTTATTAGAAGGAAAAAAGTCATACTTTCATCATGATGCCAATAATAAAACACTTACACTCACAAATAAACCTCTCTCTCCATGAGCGTGAGTCTACGTAAACATGCAGGGAAAGCTCCAGAAGGCCACATGAGCACATGATCCTGAGGGTTATAGGGATCCTGGGGACCAGTCCCTAGCAAGTGCTCCTGAAACATAAGCCACTATTAATTATAAGTGTGGGGAAAGATCTCTGGATATTCCATTTGTAAACTGAATTAGGGTGAGTGGGACACTTTACCTTACTCTTTAAAAAGCTAAATTTAAACAAGTTCCTTTTCCTTTAGATGTAATCCTTGAACTAGTATTTTTCTTCTGCTGGTCACTGACCCACAAAAGAAAAGGATTAAAATAAAAAGCAGAGGGAGATTGTTCTCCTTCCCTTGGTTTATGGGACTGAACGTGTCTCCGGGAATCTGCTTCGGGTGTTGAAGGGCTCGCTGCTCTTGCCATTTCCCACGTCAACACGTGAATGACGGCATGGGGACCCACACGCTGTGTCTCATCCTCTCAGCACCCTGGGACACAGGGATTAGCATCCTGGTTTTTGAGACGGGGAAACTGCTGAAGGTCACACAGCGAGGAAGCGGGGGCACCTCGGGCAGTCAACCGGTCTCCATCCCTGCCGCTCTCTCACGCTCACGCACACACCCCATGGACGGTTTACTGTTGTCACTGCCTGTTACTGACTCTGAGGCACAATCATAACTAGCAAATGATCCGTGCCATGTGCTGAAAACTACCTCATTCCCCCAGGGGAAAGGACAGGGCCTCAGTCACTGGTTTACCTGCTGTTGTAACTAATAATCTACATGTAGTTTGTTCTGTAATAAGGTATAGCACTTATCCTCAAACACAGCAGGACCTAAAAAACAATCTGTGGCCAAAATGTGCTCTATATTCAGCTCCTGACGTCAGCAACGATGGTCCAGGTTCTCAACGCTTGTTTGAAACCTGTACTCATCTGGTTCCCAGGACAGCTCGGGTCTGTCTTGCACAGGGAGGGGAGAACGAGGGCCAGGTGAGTATCAGGCACCTTCCAGGTAGAAAGGCTCAGGCTGCAGGGTGAGAACACAGACCCATGTGCCACGCATCTTAACGGAAGTGTTGACTGTAGGTCACACAAAGCAGGGCCTGGGCTTGGGCTGTGCCGGACACACAGGGACTTGGCCGGCCACAGAAACCAGGCCCCGGCAGAAGATGGAGAAGGGTGGGAGACAGAGCTGCTACCATGACCTCAGCCGGCAGGGGTGGTTTGCCCCCTTCTCCCCTTCCTTTCTCACTCTCCCAGTCTGAAAGGCCCAGCTCCTACTCCTCATCCCCTGTGGCTTTCCCTGACTGCTCATGACAGGAGACGGATCCTGTTCCCTCTGGATTCCTCCAGCAGTTACTCTCTGCACACCTGGCCATTAATCACACATTGTTCTCCCTGGCTATCTCTGGTTCTTTCATTCATTCAACAAACATTTGCTGAGCAGGTGCTCTGTGCCAAGCGCTGAGCTGGTAGCTGGGGGCCTTGCGATGGGAGTATGGACAGATCGCTGCCTTCGTGGAGCTCACAGGCTAGTGGTAGAGGCAGAGAGGGGAGCAAATAAGTAATATAAAGTTACAAATTGGGTAAATGCTATGAAGGACACAAGCAGGGCACTGAGAGATACAGTGGGGCAGGAGGAGCCCATAAAAGGCCTCTCTGGGAGGTGACACTGAACTCTCAGTGAAACTCCAAAGGTCTCATTTTGTACTCTGGGGCTCCCAACAGGCCCGAGGGCAGGGATAGTACAAACTTCATGATGGGGGCTCTTCTGTCTCAGTCAGTGCTCCAGGACCATGGTATGAGTTCAGTGACTGTCTCGGTGAGCAAGCGGCCCCCTGTGACACATCCCTTTAGTAATCTGGCAGCAGCAGCAATAAAGGCCAAAGCCGACAGCCCCAGGAAGAACTTGACCAACAAAGCTGACCTGAGGAAGCTGATGACACAGGTATGCCAGATGCCTCAACAACCTGCTGGCTCAAGGTGGGTGGGCGGGGGGGGGGGGGCAGCTGGGCCCCTGCTGGGAGGCCTGTAGGTTGGCACTGCCTGTCTGAAGAGCAACTTGGCAATATCTTCCCAGGACATGAGCTGCATATGCCCTCTGACCCAGCAAATCCCGCCGCTTGGCATCTATCCTAAAAAACACTGGCACGTGTGCACAAGAATTTGTGGAGGGACAGGCAAGGCTCTTCCATTTAGAGTAGCAAAATCACCAGCAGCAACCCCAGTGCCCATCGGCAGGGGTGTACCTAGTTGAGTGAGTCACACAGCAGCCCAACCATCGGGTATCACGGAGCCATTAAAAAAACTGTCTCAAGATAAGACCATTAAGTGAGAAACAGCCAAAGAACAGTACTTAGAGAAGGATGCCATTTACCTATATAAATAAAAAAGCTCTGTGTGTGTGAGTTGGTACCCACCGCTGTCTGTGAATGTGCAGGCGGCCTGCAGAGACACACGCCAGACTGACCCCAGAGAGCACAGCTGTGCCGGGCAGGCGGGGGCTGGGCTTGGGCAGATCTTGACCTTTCACTCCCTATCCTTCTAACTTGTTTGACTTCTTTCCCCAACAACAATGAAATGTAAATGTATTACTTGATTAATTTATAATTACAAATATATTTTAAAAAGAGACTAAGGAAAAAAAGGTACATTGACAATGCCAAAGTCCAGCTGGTTTTCTCTCTAACTCAGCTACTAACACTCGATCCTCTCTCCTGCCTTCGGTTCCCACCCCGACCCCAATCCCTCTCTTTCCAGTGATTCAGTTTCTCCTGTCTCCGATGGCACCTGACCACCTGCAAACACCCCCATGCCGCTTATAGAGCCCCTTCCCTCAGAAAGGCAGCCTCAGGGGAGAAAGCTGTTATCTGGCAAGTTCCATGGATGCTTCTGTATTTCCAGACCAAAACTTGAGACTTATGACAAGACGACAGGCTGTGGGCTACTTCTGTGGAGGCCCAGAGGCCCAGGGCAGGCCCGATGCCTTCCATGCCAGCCACCACTGGACTGTAAGGAAAAGTGAGGAGATTCCAGCAAGATGGAAGAGCCAGGGAAGCCTTCTGGATTCCTTCAGGGTACCAAGTGCAGCCCTGCAGAGATCTGCCTGCACGGGACACAGGCAGGAGGTGCTACGCCTTCGCCATCACCAGCTACTGTGGGAGGCAGAACAGGCCTCTGACTGGGTCCCACCCAGGCTCCTGGGCCCCTCCATCTCTCCTCCTGCTGTTCACAAACGGAGATAAGTGGCTAGGCTGGACATTAGAAATGTCCACGCAGGAAATACCAGTCCCATCACTCACTGAAAAAGCCCTAACTCCCTTCGTTCCCAGCAGCTAACCTTGGAGGCAAGAATTTCCCTGGGGATTATTCACGGGCATCATTAGTCTTCCCAGCCAGCCCCACTTCCCAGCCAGTCCATTAAGCACAGGAAATGCCTGGCTGTGCCAATGGCTACTGAAATGGTAAATGGTACAAGTGGTTCTCATAAGACCTCAAGGACGAGGACAGAGCCTGACCTGAAAGAAGGCAGCACAGTGCAGAAGGGAACTTCCAAGAAGGCCGCGTGACTCTCCGTGGGGTTTGCTAGAGCCCCTGCCACAGAACCTGTGGGAGAGCTTGACAAAAATACAAATTCCTGGCCTCGTATTCCACACTGAATCAAGATTTCTAGGAGTGGGATCGGGGAATCTACCCTTTTTCAGACAATCAGAGCCATGTACTTGGGACAGTCACAACATAATTACAGGATTTAAAACACAGCCACAGGGAATCTGCATTTCTAATAAGCTCCCTGGTGATTCTGATGCTTGAGGACCTTGCTCTGAGGACCAGAGGGACAGGTTTTCCCAGAGACGGAGCTCTGTGCTAGTCCTACCCTGTCTGTGACACCCCAGCCTCCTCTCCACCACTCCCGGCTACGCAACTTATGCTCAACTTGCCAACAGCCAGGCCATACCACTTCTCAGCTCCTGCTGTCCACGCAGTTGGGAAGCCTCCCCTCCTCTCGCCCTGCCCTCCCCACCTCACTCTGCACACTCACTGCGGGTGCCACACCCCCCAGGCAACACCACAGAAAGAGGGTGCCTCAGAAATCAAGCCTTCCCTGACTTTGGTTCTTGGCTCCTCCAATGCCCTTGGGCCTGGGACCCTCATTTGTAAAACAGGGAAAACACCATCTCACAGGCTGGCTGCGAGAATTCAATACCACTCAGCACGGTGCCCAGCAACTGCCGGCCAGACGCACACCGCTCCCACTTCCCTGTCCTCTCCACAGGACAGGAGCTACTTGAGGGGAGTAACTGTCCCTCTGTCATGTCTGAACCCCTCATATGCAGAACCCAAGGCCTTGCTTGAATGCCTGAGGCTACAAAATGAATCCCTGTCCGCGTGCTGCCCTTGACTCTTACCTGCCCAACGTTGAAGGTCAGTGTGATGGCATAAAAGAAATTAGAGTTGGCACTTCCCGCATAAATCCAGAGGTGCCAGAGGACAGGGAAGAGCAGGGAGCAGACGATGATGATGCAGGTGAGGATGAAGATGTTTCTCAGGACTGCAAAGACAAGATGGCCACAGTTAGCCCAACACTCTCTCTTCGGCACCCTCTCCCTGCTGTGTGGCCCCAAATGACAAAGAGGAGCCGCATGTAGCCCAAGGGCAGAGCACCCCTAGGGGCACTGGGGGGCGAGGCAGCGAACCTCATAGCCCTGAGCCAATGGCCCCCAGACCCACAGCTGGTGGGAGCTCCTAGATCTGGATCTTTCCTCCCACTGTGGGCCTGGCTGGCTGAAGACCAGCTATAGTAGCAATGCTGTGAATGCCCCTAGGCACTAAAGAGGACATTTTAGGATGCCAACACCCTCCCAACCCCTAATCTTGGACACTCTAAGAGTAACTCCACCCCTCTCCCCAAGCAGGATGCTGCTGGCCATGCTGGCTTGTGGATGGGAGCCCCAGCGTGAACCACGGAGATTAGAGCCCCTCTGTGGGTCTCTACGATGCCACGGTCCTGGGTCTTAGGAACATGTTTTTTATTCTCCTTAACTGGTGTCTTAGGTCCCCTGCCTTGCTCTTCGAGCATTCCTCATTCTTCCTCAGATGATAACTTAAATAGCCTCTTTTTGACATGCTGCCTCACTGACATGACATCACTCCCTGCTCCCAGAAGAGATGTCTGATCCACCAGGGAGAAAGCTCTCCCGGAGGCCCAGGGTGGTCCGCAGGCAGAGGCAGACTGGCTTCGGGAAAGGTAGCGTGATGGCCGGCACAGACCTTAGTTAAAATCCTGCTCTGTCATTTATTAGCAAGTTTCTCTAAGCCTCAGCTCTCTCATCTCTGAAACCAGGCTACAATGCATACTTCATAGGAGTGTCATGGGGATTAAACAAAAAGATATGTGAAAAAACTGGCCCAGATGTGTTATTGTATATATTAGTTTTCCACTGCTGCTACAATGAATCCCCATAAACTTAGCAGTTTAAACAATATGATTTATCATTACACAGTTCTGGAGGTCAGAAGTCCAAAATGGGTCTCACAGGCTAAAATCAAGGTACCAGCAGGGCTGTACTTCCTCTGGAGGCTGTAGGGGAGAATCCACTGTCTTCTCCCACATCTAGAGGCTGTCTGCATTCCCCAGCTAGGACTCCTTTCCAGCTTCAGAACCAGCAATGGCAGATTGAGGAATTCTTACGTTGCATCACTCTGACCTCTTCTCCTGCCTCCCTCTTCCACGTTTAAAAAGTAGACTTTATTTCTTTATGTATTTATCTTGAGATGGGGTCTTGCTACATTGCCCAGGCTGGAGTGCAGTGGTTATTTACAGGGGTGATCATAGCATACGAAAGCCTCAAACTCCTGGGCTCAAGTGATCCTCCTGCCTCAGCCTCTCGAGTAGCTGGGACTGCAGGCACACACCACAGCACTGGACAGAATTTATTGTTTATGGTAGTCTTAGATTCATGGCAAAATTGAGCAGAAGGTACAGAGAGTTCCCATATTTCCCTTGCCTCCACCTCTTCCACTTTTGGGGACTCTTGTAATTACACTGGGGCCATTTGGATAATCCAGGATTATTGGATAATCCCTCCTTGCCAAGGTCCTTAATTTAAAGTCCCTTTTGCCATGTAAGGTGACATAGTCAGAGGTTCTGGGGATTATGACTGGCCATCTTTGCAGGAGATGGATATTACTCTGCCTACCACACTGTGATTTTCCCTTTTAATTCACCAGGGGTTATCTGACAGTAGGGTTACATGTTACTTTTATTTCTTTATACTTTATTTTTTCAAAAGAATATTTAGGCCAGGCGCAGTGGCTCACACCTGTAATCCTAGCACTCTGGGAGGCTGAGGCGGGTGGATTGCTCGAGCTCAGGAGTTCGAGACCAGCCTGAGCAAGAGCGAGACCCTCGTCTCTACTAAAAATAGAAAGAAATTAGCTGGACAATTAAAATATATATATAGAAAAAAAATTAGCCAGGTATGGTGGCGTGTGCCTGTAGTCCCAGCTACTCGGGAGGCTGAGGCAGAAGGATCGCTTGAGCCCAGGAGTTTGAGGTTGCTGTGAGCTAGGCTGATGCCACGGCACTCTAGCCCGGGCAACAGAGTGAGACTCTGTCTCAAAAAAAAAAAAAAAAAAAAATAGATCTTTAAAAAAAGAATATTTAAAATAAATTAATTAAAATAGTATCTTTTTAAAAAGAACTTAGTACTGGGCCTGGTTCCCAGCAGGCACTAATGAATGGAAGTTCCCTTCCCCTCTTTGATCCTGACCTTCAGAAAATTCCTTCTACCAAGTCAGAGTTTTGGGAGATCTAAGGGATGGGGAAACTCCCAAACATTTAGGCCACTTGTCTCGGCTGCACAAGCACTTGGTAGAAATGCTATATTGGGGGCTCATGCACTGGAAGGGGCTCTGGATGACAGAGATGATTTTCAACTCTGGCTGCAAGGTGAAATTATGTGGGGAGCCCCATCCCACCCAAAGACTAAGTCAAGAGTCTATAGATGGGGCCCTGACACCCATATGCAGTGTTTAAAGCTTCCCAGGTGGTTCCAATATGCACCTGGGGCTGACAACCACTGGATTATAGCCGCAGACCCTGACAGTCTGCAACACAGATGCCACTGAGTAGTGTCAAAGTTAGAGTAAGGAGGACAAGGTAGTTGACAGTTCTTGGTAAGGCGGGATGTTTTCAACTTACAGCTCCTTCTTTACTGAGAAATGATAGGTGTCTTTTTGTTGTTAAAAAGTCCTTTCTTTTATGAAATGGGGATAAATGGCTGGGAGTTGATTGCTTTAATATCTTCAGCAAAATAAAAAGCTGGCAACTCTGTCACCAGAGTTCTTTTGAAATATTAGTGGTCTGGGAAATCCCACAATTTGGACACTGGCCTGGACGGCTTGTAAGATCTCTCTTCTAATCTGAAATTTCCACAATTCTGGTTTTCAAAGTTCAGAGGTCAAAGCCATGACTCAAGCCTCCTGAGACTGCCCAGGGAAGCTCCTGCCTCTTCCTGTACTCCCAGGAACAAGGAGTCTGAGAAAAGGGGTATTTGCACTGAGAATTATTATTATTTTTTTTTCTTTTGAGACAGAGTGTTGAGCTAGGGTCTGTTGCCCAGACTGTAGTGCAGTGGTGTCATCATAGCTCAGAGCAACCTCAAACTCCTGGGCTCAAGTGATCCTTCTGCCTCAGCCTCCTCAGTAGCTGGGACTACAGGTGCTCATCACCTACTCCCAGCTAATTTTTTTTTTTTTAATATATTTTGTAGAGACAAGGTCTCGCTATGTTGCCGGGATGGTCTCCAACTGCTGGTCTCAAGCAATCCTCCTGTCTTGACCTCCCAAAGCGCTAGGGTTACAGGCATGAGCCACTGTAAGCAGCCAAGAATAATAATAATAATAATTACTATTATCATTAAAAAATGTTACAACCTCAAGAAAGAAGAACAAATCTTTTTACCATTCTACTCCAACATCACTATTTACATTTCTCAGTGGTTCTTTCTGATCCCCTGGAAAGTATTTTGCTAAAAAGAATATAGACTATTCTTAAAATGCTTGTGGCCCGACAGCCCAGGTGGTTCTTTGATCTGTGCCTCCAGCCAGAGACAGAGATTTCAGACAAGGTGACAGGAAGGAGACCAAGTGCAAAAGACAGGAGAGGCTCGCTTGCAGCCTCTGGGTGCTATCACGAAGGGCTGCAAAAATACATTCCCATGTGCTTAGAGGAACTGACGCCAGCATCCCGTTGGCTTCTGGCCTGTGGTGACCTTTGCAGGAAAGGGGAGCTGCTACTCACTCTTGCTGGCTGACGGGCCAGAGAATGAAAGCTATACGCCAGAGCACATGGAGCTGGGACCCACGGCACAGGACAGCTTGTTCCAGGCACCAGGAGGCGTCAGAGATATCAGAGGTGACCAGAGCCTAACAAGATGAAAGGGTTCACCCTTCATCAGAGTCGCTCGGCCAGACGGAATCAGGTTCCCCACCACATCCACGGGGGCTTATCCAATCTCTGGTGCCACTACTGACAAAATGGAACTTCAGACAAGTCACTTTCCCTCTCTGAGCCTCATACATTCAGAAATAAAACTTCACTTGAAAAATCCAGTCCCATCAGGAGGGGCACAGAGGGGATTTGGGGACTTCAAAGGTCATGGTGATGTCACCTGTCTTAAACTAGGTGTGAGGTACATGGGAATTTATTATATTATTAACCTTTGTATGTATTTTATCAATATTCTTTTATCTCTATACAATAGTGAATAAAAACAAAACACACACACATGCACACACACACACACACACACCCCCACCCACCCCCCTTTGGTAACTGGCTCTTTCTGCTGGACCAGGGCAGGCTGGCACTGGCTCTGCCAGCAGGCTGTTCCCTAACACCACAGTCATGCATGTGTTGACTCATCCCAGCCCCAAGCTCCAGAGAGTACGGTGTCTAGAGCCTACACTCAGGGAAGGGCCACGTTCCTTTTCTCCTGCCCACTGATAGGACAGGAAAACAGAGAGGTGAACGTGGGAGTGGGCATGTTAGCACTGGCAACTAACGTTTAAGCTGATTTCCTAACCACATTAACTACATTCAACCTAGGCTTAAAGACTTCACAAAATATCCACTCACAGGTCCCAAGGACCAGGCCTGAAGATGCTCCTGGCTAAGTACAATGACTCACAGTTGTCAGGCCCCAAACAGATACTCCAAGTGTGAATGCTCCCTGCTGCAGGAGCGGGGAGGTGAAGGGTGGCAGCCACTGTTCCAGAAGCTTCAGACGAGCTGAAGCTATAAACTGCTTGCCCACGCAGCCAGCAACAGCATCTACTGGGTCATCCAGGCTTCTGGAAACCCCTTTCTTTTTCTTTGTGTCTCATCACCCTGGAGGGCACAAAATAGCTTATTTCATGTTTTGAAAAATATGTTTATTTCAATAACTCAGGCTACCAAGCCTGAAGCTTTGATCATGGAACTATGTAGGTAACCCCTGCATAGTTATTACTGATGATGATGATATACCTGCAATGCTATTTACATATATTCTTTCTCAAACTTAAAACACCCATGAAAGATATTTTCCTTATTTGACAGATGAAAAAATCAGAGGCTCAGAAAGGTTCAATGATGCCCCTGAGAACACGTAGCAGGGGAATGCCAGGATTCAGCCTCAAGTTCGTCCATCTCCAGTGCTGAGCAGCATGGGATGAAAGGTAGACACTGAGGGACATAGCGTGGACGGACAGCAAAGAAAAACCATTCTGTGTCCCCAAGACTCACCCTGTCACAAATTGGGGCATGTCCACATGTTTTGGTGGCCTCATGACTTGTCACTGGCCACTCTGCCTACGGGCCCCAAGCTGACTCTGAGCCTGCTGGGCTGGGTGATTCCTGTCTGTGCAGTGAGTATGTCACAGGAAGAAGACGCCAATTCCTCCTCCCAATCAGGCAAGACTGGTCACTGCCCCACCGGGCTGCCACCTGCAAGGGCAGCCCTGGCTCAGCCGCCCACACAGCTGTTTATCTTCACCCAGAGGCGCTCTTACAGGTAGGTTTCTTGCAGGCAGCTGGTCAGTTTCACTTCCTGGTTGACACCCAGGGGTTCCAAAACAACAACAAAGACTCACTTCCTCTGAAGGTGCACTCCCTGAATTCATTCTTGACACCTTGCTGTCCACCCAGAGCAGGCAAGGAAAGTTCAACAGCTCCCTTTCATGCCTTATTTTAGAGAGTCAGGCAGCGTTGGGCCACTGACACTGCCTCTTTATTAGGGAGGTTTAAAAATCTACTCCACAAACACTTGCTGAGACTTAAAAGCACTCCACATACATTTGCGTCAGGTTCGTTCCTGGATGCTAGGGACACAGAGGCGAATGATGTCTACCCTAAGGGAGTCCCCAAACACTGAAAAGAACCCACCCCAGAGGGCTAAGAGCCCGACCAGGGGAAATCCTGGGGTCCTAGGCAGCACAGATAGGTCACCAGTAAACCATCTTCTGAGGAAGAGATGGTTAGAGCTTAAAGGAGTCGTCACGGGGGCAAGAAGTCTCGTGTTGCCCATCTGCCTTCTGGGAAGCTTTGAGTGCAGCACTGGGGAATGGTTCAAAGCCCAGGGTATAGAGTTCTGCTGTTCAATATGGCAGCTTAGCGACATGTGGCTTCTTAAATTTAAATGAATTTAGATAAAAAATTCAGGTTCTCAGTCACACAAGTGGCTACTCTATTGGACTGTGCAGATATAGGACATCTCCCTCATCACAGAAAGCCCTGTTGGACAGCACTGAGTAGGGGTTCACAGATCTGGACTCCAATCCTGGGCCTTCCACTTACCAGTCACATGACCTTGAACAAGTGGCTCTACCTTTCTGTACCTCAGACTTCTCGTCTGCAAAATGGGCATACTTACCTCATAGGATGGCGTACAGATAAATTGAGCTAATTAATGCATGTAACACTCTCGGAGCCAGAGTGGCCAGGTACACAGTAAGTGCTCAATAAGTGGCAGTTATTTTTATCATCACTAGGCCATAGCACCTAGAAACGGATACTGTGCCTCATGCCTGCTTCTCTCCTACTGCTGCAGCTCAGCAGATGCCCAGGAAATGCCTATCAATTGCTTCTTCCCTGGCTGTTTCACCAGGAATCTGCCACCAGCAGGTAGAGGCGGGAGTACTCACATCTGTAGAGATGGTTCCACACAGGAAAGAAGGCCATGTAGAGGGCCACGTCCCCCACCGTCGGATAGGACTTAAAGATGGAGATGATGGCAATCTGGATGAACATGAAGAAGACGGGGTGCTCCCTGGGGCGGGGCAGGGCAGGGGAAGACAGACAGAGAGATCAGCCAGGGACCAGGCCCACCCCAGAGACTCCTGACCCCATCCTCGGAACCAACAATACTCCCCAGGGGACTTCAGACAGGGGCTGGCTCTGCTACTTACAAGGCAGGGGCCAGGCCCCAGTATCTGGGACCAGAAATACCCAGAGGTAGTGAGGAGGCCCAGCAAACACTAGAGAAGGAGCCCACAGAGATGTTTCCCATCAACGGCCCCTCCCCACCCCAGCTCTGGGCCTTCCCCCAGGAGCCAGGGGGAAGAAAACAAATGAAGTCAGCGTTCTTTATTACTGGGCTTAAATGACTGCTTGTCAGGGTAACCAGACAGCCTCCCTCGCCAGAGGCCCCTCTGTAGACTGGACCCAGGGCAGGAAGTGCCTCCTTGCTGATGCCTTCTTCTCTGACAACAGGATAGTGGGGTCTGCAGACCCTCGGTGTGGGGAACCGCTTTCCAGAAAGAGAACACAGGGCTACACACAGCTTGTCAGTGCTCAAAGGCCGGAAATGGAGTTCCTGTTAACTTAAACTAACAGCAGTTTAAACCATTATTTTAAACTAATAGTAAGTGAAAACAATGGCTGCCATCTCCTGAACCCTCACTCCGTGCCAAGTGCTATGCGAGGCCCTTTTCTTGCCTCATCTCTTGTGATCCTCATCATGCCACAGCTACCCCTCGAGGCAGGCAGTCCCGTGACCCAGACTTCACAGATGAGGAAACTGGGGTTCAGAGAAGTGAAGTGAGTTGACTAAGCAAGTGAGGGAGCTGTCTGTCTCCATAGCTCTGACTACCACCTCTGGTGTTCTCCTGGCACTTGATACCCATCACCGCTCCAGCAGGGAGGGTGGAGGACAGAGCTGAACCCCAGCACCTCTCCAGAGCCGACCGAGTGCTAAAGGGAAGCAAACAGGAAGAGGCTGGGTCTGGCCCCTCCTCACCTACACCTAAACAACATGCACGCGGCCTACCGCTGCACGGTCCCTGGACGCCCGGCTCGTGAAGGTTTTCCTCAGAGGTTAATGACATTCTTGTCTTGCAGGTCAAAGGTCAGAGTGACTCAGTGGGTATAAATCTGAGATGTGGTGACAAACATGCTGAACACTCCTGCGCTGTCACACAGCAAATGCCTCAGAAACTCAGCTTGGCAAAGTCACACAGCCCTGTAGCCTCTAAGAAGTGTCCCCCCAGCTCAGTGTGAACATCTTCCTAAAGACGATCCAAATCACTGGCTCTGGGTTTTTTAGGTAGCTGGTAACAGCTGCAACATTTCTATAAAAAGGCCAGAGACAAAGCAGTGACAAAAAAACATGGAGCCCAGAGCCTCCTGCAACACTGCAGAGAAGGCGAGGTGGCCTGAAGGGCCCTGTTCCCACAAAGCTGGCAGTGAACAAACCGCAGAGAGTTTTTGCAGGAAGAGTTATAGGGAGCTTCACGTCCAGGCAGAAGAGGGAACAGTGGGGAAGGCAGGTATCCTCATACTTTCTGTCCCCACAACTGCAAGGCCCTGGCCTGAGGCAGAGGGGATCCCATGATGGTGTGGAATTGTCTACCCAGGAGTGATGTGTGGCCTTCACGTGCAGACGATAAAAGCCACTGGGAGCTGGCTGTACGAACAGTGAGGAAAGGTGCTCTGGGCTGGCTCCCTCCTCTCAGCCCGGTGGCTGGGCCTAACCAGAGCGAGGGCAGGGAAGGTGGACCACAGACGGCTGAGAGCTGCCAGAGTTCTGGAGGCTGTCAGGCCATGGGAGGGCGGTTTTCTGTCACGCCAGGCCGAGGCTGTGTCATGGGGAGGAAGCATCACTCTGAGGTTTTACCCAATGGGAACCATGTGCGTTGGTGCACTGGCTGTGGAGAATGGCAGACCGGTTAGAGCCGAGAATGCGAGCTGTTGAATTCTAAATCAAACTCTCTTCCAGGTTCCCCGGACCATCCAGGCACATCTGTGCCTGTTTTCCCTTCTCTGAAGCTAGGATAATAGAATCATTTCCAGGGGCCACTAGGAGCAATCTCTCTCAGGAGCTTGGCATGGTGCAGGGAGGTAAGGAGAGATTCTGGAGACAGACAAACCGGTCTGAATCCCGGCTCCACTGTTTACCAGCTGTGTGACTCTGAGCAAATCACTCCACCTCTCTGAGCATAAATTTCCTCAACTATAAAATGGGAGTGATGGCAAGAATATATTGCCTACCTCCACAAGTTGCTGGGTTGGTATGATTACATTTTAGAGGGCCTAGAAAGGTGCCCAGGATGGAGGAGGCTCAACACACGTCAGCTCTCTCACACCGCAGAAGAGAACTCCACAGAGAAAGCCTTCTGAGGGAACTGATCAGAAGATTAAACAGAGCTGCAGGTGTCCGGCCTCCCGGCTTACCTATCCTGAGTCCCCTTGTACAAAGTGCCACCAGGCTGCTGATGGAAGACATCCAACCAGATCCACTTTTCCCAAAGATACCCCCACCCACCCACCACAACCCCTGTTCTTGTCCAAAACGGTGAGTGGGCTCAGCAGCAATGTGGGTTCAAGCACCTTGGAGTGAGGCCGGGGGAAATACCGGGGCTCCAAAGCACCCTCCCTGCAGCCTGCACACATGTGTGACTCTACTGCTGGCTGTGGCCACTGGTGCCCACAGCAACTGAGGGCAGGGTTCCTCGGGCAAGATGACATAAACCTAAGAGCAGGTGTTCCCCATCTGAAGGGCCCCCTAAGGCTACAAGGGGTAGAGAGTCCTTGGGTGGTTCTGTGGACAACGCAGCAGCAGGTGAACCACTTACTTTAGCTTTATGGCTAAGGGGATGGTGTAGAAGAAGACGTTGATCTGAAACACGCACACAAAGAAGAGGCTGAAGTGCTCAAACATCTCTGCAAAGAAGTACCAGAAAAGACCAATGTTTGGAGTGAGATCTGGAACAGAAAGTCTGGAATTAAGAAAACAAAGGGAGAGAAAAAAGGGAGCAAAGTTAGAAATGGTCTGCTTTGACCCTGATTTCTCCTGAAGACTTTGGTCACTTCCGGGCAGCCGAAAATAGCCTTCTCCTTACAGAGATCAGGATGGGAAGGGCTCCCCATCTGCCCTGGATACAGGTAATAACATAAACAAGGGGCACAGATGCAGAGAAGGATAACCCATAATAAATATTAGCCAAGCCAAACAAATCTGAGACGAGGCAGGGATTCACCCTAGAAATCATGAGACTAGTCCCTCTTTCACTGCCCTGACAGTTTAAAATCAGGAGATACCCAGTATTGTAACACAGGAGGAGTGAGTTTTAAATACACAGTATCTATTTTGGACATTCCAGAGACCTGCCTAGAGGAACAAGCTCAAAGATCCTGCTCCTCCCCATTCTTGTTCCACACTCCACAGTGGGAGCCAGAAGACAGGCCTGAGATGGCAGTGAGACTTCTAGGGGCTTCAGGGACCATCGGCAGGTCCTGGCTAGGCTCTCCAGGGTCCCAGGCCTCATTTGAGAAATTAGGGTTTAACTGGAAAACGTTCTGTCTGGTTAAATCAGACAAAGACTGGCTGCAATTCTGGCTCTTCTAAAAATTTACTTTATATTTTTGATTTTAAAAAAATATGAAATGGAAACTGATCTCAAATCACAATTTTAAAAGGACAACAAATGGGGCATGGAAAGAGAGAGACAGGCGATGGCTCACAGTCAGATTTCCCTGACCGAGGCCTCCGCCTGGGCTAAGTCTTTGCCTGTTGCCGTAACTACGTTTCCTTTTTCTGTGAAATGAGGTAAAGAACCCAATCTGTGGCCCAGCAGAAAGCCAGGAAAAGCTCTTCACCAGGCATCCAAACTCCTATCCAAGGCAGAGCATGAAGAGCTGAAAGTTATAAGTCACTGTTATGCTCAGCTGGGATTTAACACAAGTAAGCAGTTCAGAATCCCAGATGGGAGTTCTGCCACTCCAGATCTCTTCCCCACCTGGACAGCTTTAAATGTCTGTCACCCGCTGGGCTGTGAGCGACTCAAGGTCTGGGTAGCAACCAACCCCGCAGCACCCACACAGAGTCTGGCACACAGGGTACACTTGGAAATGTGTGCAGAATTCACGAGTATATAACGCAGGCAAGCCTGCACTACTCAAACCCTTTTGAATCTCTCTAAAGGTTTGACATACAGCAGGTGGCCTTATGTTAAAGCTATCGGACACCCTCTTGCAGTAGAGGAATATATCTGTTACTGATTGGAATTGAACTCAACCTCCCAGCAGAGGCTGGCAGTTGCTTTGGATGTTCCTAGAGAGTGCTCCTTTATCCCGCCAGATCAAAGGTGTGTGCTAGAGCAGAGGATCTCAAAGTGTGTTCCCTGGACCAGCAGGACCAACAGCATCAGCATCGCCTGGTAACTTGAGAAATGCAAACTCTTGTCTCTACTTCAGACCTACTTAATCAGAACCTCTGGGGGTGGGCCCAGCAAGCTGGGTTTTAACAAGCCTTGCAGGTGACTCTGATGCATGGCTCTTGATGCTCCCCGGGGTCACTCATCCTCTGATTCCAACTGGAGCTGTGGAAACCAGATTAGCTTCCAGGGTTTTGTAGGTTTGTTTTTCTTTAGATGACAATTTATAATTGTATACATTTATGGGGTACAAAATGATGTTATGATTTATGAATACAATATAGAAAAATTAAATCAAGTTAGTTAACATTTCTATCACCTCAAATACTTACCATTGAGGTGGAAACATTTGAGATTTACTCTCTTAGCAATTTTGAAATATACAATACTCTATTATTAACTGTATTCATCCTGCTGTGCAACAGAACTCAAAAAAAGAAATCATATTCCTCCTGTCGAACTGAGATTTCGTGACCTTTGGCCATCATCTCCCCATCCTCCCTGCCTGTAGCATCTGTAACCACCCTTCCACGCTCTGCTTCTGTGAGTTCTACTGTTTTAGATTCCACATATAAGTGAGAACCCACGTGGTATCTGTCTGAGCCACTTGGCATAATGTTCTCCAATTCTATCCATGTTGTCACAAATGACAGGATTTCCTTTTTTATGGCTGCATAGGATTCCACTGTGTATATATTCCACATTTTCTTTGTTTATTCATCTGCTAATGGACACTTAGGTTTATTCCATAACTTGGCTACTGTCAATCGTGCTGCAGTGAACATGGGAGGGCAGGCAAATCTTCAACAAAGTGGTTTCAAATCTTTTGGGTAAATATCCACAAATGGGATTGCTGGATCATATGGTCATTCTGGTTTTAGTTTTTTGAGGAAGCTTCATACAGTTTTCCATGAAGGCTGTTCTAATTTACATTACTACCACCAATGCACAAGGTTCCCTTTTCTCCACAGCTTCTAGAGTTTTCAAATGAGGTCATTACTTACATGAAGCCGTAGACTGCAGGGATGAAATCCCAAGAGCTGAGAAGGAAGAAGGACAGGCAAACGATTACCACGAGGCTTCCCACATACATCATGGCGTACTCCCAAGAGAAGATCCAGAAGGCTTTGCTCTTCATCTTCACGGGTATATACTGCCGCTAGGACAGAAAGCAAAACGGTACATTTAGGGATATCAACAACAAAGAGCAGTTATCAGCTTAAATTTAAAGATCCCTCCTGAAAAACCATGCCAGGATGCACAAGTTTATAATTTTGCTTTTGTATGTAATTAAGTAAGAAGGACATAAGTGTTTAAAAAAAAAAAATAGGTGTTAAGTGTGCATCCTCTGACCTCAGACCTAGTAACACTGTTTCTAGGTACGTATCCTAGAGATATGGTACACAAAATACAAATGAAGGGACATTCATTGCACCATTATTTGGAATATCAAGAAAAAAATCCTTCAACAGAGGAAAAAATAAATTGTGGCATATTGGTATACTATTTATAGGTTAAATGAATAAACTATATCTATATTGTCAACATGGCTAGATTTCAAAAATATGAGGTTATTAATAGAAAATTGCCAAATAATCCATATAATATGAAACTATTTATATATTTTGAGATTACACCTAACAATACTATGAATTATTTATAGATATATATGCATATATCTGTAAAAGTTTTACAAAACATAGATTAGAAGAACATATACTTAAAGTCATGATAGCATTAGCCTCCTGGGAAAGAGAGAGGGAAATATGATTGGAACCTAAGAAACTTCATCAATATTTTATTAAACGTAACAAAAGCAAATATGAAACGATATGGCAACAATCAGTATTTGTTTACTTTGGGTAGTAGGCAAATGGTTGTAATTATAATATTTTCTGTATTTTTCCTCCATTAAAAATGTATGTTTTACACACACACAAAAAATTAAGATGCTGGAGGAAAAGAATTAACTTACAGTTTGTTCTAAGAAAAAGGAAAATAAGAGATACTAAAAAGGAAAAAGAAGCAGTATGTAAGAAAACAAATGAATTCAAACATAACACAATCAACTCAAATGGATCAAACTCTGTAACTAAAAAAATCATATTTTCAGTAAGAAAAAATCAGTTACACAGCTACATACTATTTACAAGAGGTATACCTTAAACCACATGACCAGAAAAGCTGAAAACAAAAGGACTGAAGAAGATACGCCAGGGAAACACTAAGCAAAAATAACTAGAGTGGTCATACCGTTACCAGATAAAATAGATCTTTATATAAAATAGTACTGCAGACAGAAAGATGGTCCGCAATGATAAAAGGTGCAGTTCATCAGAAAGATACAGCAGTTCTAAACTTGTATGTACCTAATAATATAGTCTCAAATTATATAAAACAAAGATGGAGCTACAAAGGAAAAACAGGCAAATCTATCATCAGCACATAAATGGCAGGTCAAGCAGACAAAAATCAGTAATCAAGTAGGAAAAATGAATAGCACCCTTAAGTTTAATCTCACAAGATCTTATAAAACATAATAAACATATAGAGCAGTATATCTAATAACTGAATAATGCACGTTCATTTTGGGCATTTTGGTGGCAAATCTAAGAATGAACTGCCAAACTGAGATTATAAAGATTTACCCCTATATTTTTCCCTAATCTCTTTAGCTCTTCTGTTTAGGTTGTTGATCCATTTTGCATTAATTTTTGTATGTAGAGTGGGGTAGAAATCCAACTTCATTCTTTTGCATGTGTTTATCCAGTTGTCCCCGAACCATTTGTTGAAGAGACTATTCTTTCCTCCTCGAATGGTCTTGGCACCCTTGTCAAAAATCAATTGGCCATGGTACTGGGTTTTAACCCATAGAATAAAATTCATATTTATGAAACCATACTAATGAAAATAAATAACTGAATAAATAAACTAGGGAGAAGGAACAACTGCTCTTCCTCACATTAGGATTCCAACTAATAAGTATAGAATAAGGTGGGGAAACAGAGAAACACCACTGGGTAATTGTCGCAGACAAGATCTACTCATGGATGCTAAAATTAGTGGGTAAAAATGTGTGGAGAAACAAATTTGCATAATCTTGAAGTAGCTTCCCCAAGATACTTACTAACTACAAAAGAAAAGATAAAAACTTTACAGTGGAGAAACCTGGTAGACAGCAACTTAACCTAGTATCAAGGTAAACATCACCATTGATAAGATAGTGACATCACGAAGCACTCTGTATAGTGCACTGAGGACACAATATGCATATTTCCCAAAAAAAAAAAAAAGTATAACTTCAGCCCAATCATGAGAAAACATATGACAATCTAAATTGAGGTGCATTTGACAAAAATAACTACAAAAGTCGTGAATGACAAGAGAAGATGGAGCAAGTGTCTCAGACAAGAGGAGACAAAGAAGATACAACTAAATGTAGTGTGGGACCCAAACAGGATATCCTGGAACAAAACAATTGCCATAGTAGAAAAACATAAAATTCTAGTAAGGTCTGTATTTAATAATATTGCATAAATGTTAATTTTTTTGTTCTTGAGAATTGTACTATGGTTATGTAAAGTTTTAATATTAGCAGCAGAAGTGGGGTGAGGCATGCAAGGAAACTACTGTTTTCGCCACTTTTCTGTAAGTCTAAAAATAATTCAAAATGAAAAAGCTTTTAAAAATGGAGATGAGGCCGGGTGTGGGGGCTCACACCTGTAATCCTAGCACTCTGGGAGGCTGAGGCAGGTGGATCACTCAAGGTCAGGAGTTAGAGACCAGCCTGAGCAAGAGCGAGACCCCATCTCTACTAAAAATAGAAAGAAATTATCTGGACAACTAAAAATATATATATATATAGAAAAAATTAGCCGGGCATGGTGGCACATGCCTGTAGTCCCAGCTACTCGGGAGGCTGAGGCAGTAGGATTGCTTGAGCCCAGGAGTTTGAGGTTGCTGTGAGCTAGGCTGAAGCCACGGCACCCTAGCCAGGACAACAGAGTGAGACTCTGTCTCAAAAAAAAAAAAAAAAAAAAAAAAGGAGATGAAATCATCTGTTACAAGATTGGTTAAAAAAAACATATAAACATACAATTTTAAAAATTAGAGAGTTCTCCAGGACTTAGATGAAAAACAGCAGCCCTTTACCTCTAATCTTCATTAAATCAACCTTGTTAATTGTGATGTTCGAATAATCTATATAATTATTAAACATTTTGGGTGCCTAATCTTACTTGCACAAAGATTTGTACAAGAATGTTTGTAGTAGGTCTATTTATAACAGATGAAAACAGAAACAGGCCAAGTTCCCATCAATAGGAGAATGGATAAACAAAATGTTGTGCATCCACACACACAAAAATTACACAGCAATAGAAGGAATATATGCAACAACATGAATAAATCTCAAAAACAAAGTGAATGAAAGAAGCCTTACGCAAAAGAATCATATTGTTTTATTCTATTTATTATGGTTAAATAGTCATGGTTGAATGTAGGTGGTAGGTATATGAGTGGTCATATTTGTTCTTCCTTTGAAATTTTTCATTATAAAATGTTGGTGGGGATATGTAAAATTTAATATATTGTTTAGCAATCCATACACATACAGGAAAACTCTTAAGGAAAGCAAAGAATGATTAGCAAAAAATTCAGGATAGTCATAACCTCTGGGCTAGAGGGAAGGAGTACAATGTGGAAGGGGGACCCAAGGGGTTTCCAAAAATCTAGAACGGTCATATTACTTAAGCAAGGCAGAGGGAACCGAGGTGTTATTTGGTTATCCTTTAAACTATACAATTATTATTATAAAGCAGAAAGAAATTTTTTTAAATGAATAAAAGCATTCAAGGCAGATGGAACATCATGAGTCTGGGTCCTGAGGTGGGAAGGAACGTGCCACACTGGAGGAACAGAGGTCAGTGTGATTGAGGTATAAGGAGTGAGGAGGAAGTGGTACATGATCAGCCTCGAGAGGCAGAGAGTGGCCAGATCACGTGGGATCAAGCCATTCTGGTCACGTACAACTCACAGATTCTTTAACAGTTGTCTTGAAAAGAGTTTAAGGTGGGTGAGGATTAGCTCTTCTTCTGCAATCTTGCAGCAAAGAAAGCAAGTTCCACAGCAAATTCTGGCACACTTAGAGACATTTATTAAACAAATATTCATTAGCGAGCAGGCACAAAGCAGTTCACACAAACTATTCTAGAAGCTTGAGTCCCAGCTCTTTCTCCTTCTAGTTGTTTCTACCACCATTGCAAGAAAGGCTCACTCAAGGAAGAACTGACAACATCGCAGAGGCAGGGTTCTGCTGCCTCTAGACTCACATCAGGCAACCAACCAGAAATCTAACCATAGGCAAGGCAAAGGCTGGGTTAAGAATTAAGCCTTCAAGGCAAGAAGTTACAGGCCTTGTTATGTTTTTATTCCTTCTTTGTGCAAGTATAAGCAGTAGCTCTAAAATATTTTAGCCAATACCACTTCTTTTGAATACTTTAATTTCACCAATGAAGGCTGGGCGTGGTGGCTCACACCTGTAATCCTAGCACTCTGGGAGGCTGAGGCAGGAGGATCGTTTGAGGTCAGGAGTTCAAGACCAGCCTGAGCAAGAGTGAGACCCCCGTCTCTACTAAAAAATAGAAAGAAATTAGCTGGACAACTTAAAATATATAGAAAAAAATTAGCCGGGCATGGTGGCACAGCTACTTGGGAGGCTGAGGCAGAAGGATAGCCTGAGCCCAGGAGTTTGAGGTTGCTGTGAGCTAGGCTGATGCCATGGCACTCTAGCTCGGGCAACAGAGTGAGACTCTGTCTCAAAAAAAAAAAAAATTTCACCAATGAGTGCCTACTTCTAATATTCATTTTGTTAATTAGTAAGACACTAATCTCACCAATAAAAATCTGATCTGCTCTGATAGTCACTATGCTAATTAGAAAAGGTATTGATCAAGCTCTAGAGAGCCAAGCACTGACGGCAGCCCCTGCAGAGTGTGGCCTTGCAGATAGAAAGCTAGATGACCATAAGGGAGTTTGGATGCTTCATTAATGTAACTCACTGCCCCTGAAGTTGAGGCTGAAACTGACACATATATAATATATGGTCATGAAGAAGTAAAATAAATTATAGACATCATAACTCCGTGATAAAGACTTTAT